TATCTATCTATCTATCTATCTATCTATCTATCTATCTATCTATCTATCTATCTATCTATCTATCAATCATCAGAATATTTATAGCTCAGGGTTGAAATGAGAGGCCTCTGGTGCTCTCTGAGCTTGCTTGTTTTCTTGCAAATGTTTTATTACTCTAGGTAACATCATCAGTGCTAGTAAGAAGTGCAGTTTGCTGTCTGTCTGTCTATCTATCTATCCATCTATCCATCTATCTTTCTATCTTTCTTTCTATCATCTATCCTAATCTAATTTCTATCTATGTGCATCCATCAACCTAGCCTTGATTTACTGCCATTCCAGTATATCATACTCATTATGTTTTTATTGCCTTTATAATAAACACTTTTCTGGGTTATAACCTGACATTCCAGCTCCACCATACAGAATCAGCTTTTCAGTGTAATCATTGTTTCTTCTCAATTTGCCAGTTACAACAGGCAATTTCTAGATCAGTATTTCCACACTGAAAGCAACAGAATCAGATAATGCACAGGGAATGGGCAATTGCCCTACCACCTGGGCAATTGCCCAGCCTTTTCATTCTGTGGACATACTCCTTGAATGTAAAATAAGCTTAAATATACGCTAGAGAGATGTGTTTTAGCAAGCACGATAATAGAGTTCCATTATACTGAAATAAAAAAGCATCTGTGATATAACGCCTACTTATAAAGGATTGTAAGCCAGTCTTCTAACATATATATTTTGCAGTTTCAGAATTAATGTTAAAACGGTTCCAAAAGTCACATTAATGGGAAACAAACTGAATTTCACAATGAACAAAAATGAACAAGAACAAAAATTCCTGCAATACTGGTCTTTAGCTTATTTATGTCTAGCTAATTCTAATAAAAATCGTGATCTGAAACAGACAATCCTTTCAAAGTCCATCTCCTCTTTGATCTGAGCCTTACTAAAATGAGTTCTCCTCTACCTAACTCTGTCCTGATTTTACTGTACTCTATCCTTACTGAAACAAGGTTCTTCTTCGAATAACGCACATACACACAATTAATAAGCAATATTTGTGTATATATTTGACACCTTGATGAAAAAGTTAAAATATTGGTGAAATGACATCCAGGAAATGCCACTTTGATATTCATTTCCTCATATGGCATTTCCTGAAAATCATTTCACCAATAAATAGTACACACAAAAACTAATCTCTATATTATTGTTTTAAAGCAACATTTATTGGCATATACCTGTACATGAACTAGTATTAGAAATCTCTGTACTGACAACAGATATGTTGGAACCATCTTCACTGGAAGCTTTCAAAATGTACTTTTCAATTACACCTTTGACCCCAACTGGTTCATCCCATGTAACTTCAATGCTGTGACCATTTATGCTGTGAATTCTTGAGAGTGTCAGCACGTTTTGTGGTACTGTGAATGAATAAAAGAGAAACAGAGAGAACAGCAGACTTAAGAAGACTATTGCTCCATTCTTCACTTTTAGTAGTTGCAGTAAATCAGATTCACCATTAGCATATATACAATTTATTGGAGTTGTAACTTTCCAGCATTGATTTAATATGACTACACATCTTGAGCCATTCAGCATTAGCTATATTTCAAAACTATCAGAACTCTACATATGTAATGTTCTTCATTCTTCAGTTAAGGTACCAAAGAAACATCACTTAAAAGAGAAGGAAGTGGAATTTAATAGTTCAAACAGCATAATGACACTACCAGGAAAGAATGATAATTAGATGTTTATAAGGTGGGATACTACATTCCATGAGCAGAAATCCAAAAACTTTCCCTAAAATTTTGTTTTAGACTAAACCTATACAGTTTGTATACTGAATGTTTCCTAACAGAGAAAAATTTAATGGGCCATCTCCCAACAATAACCCGATAGAATATGTATTTAATTTTATTCCAGATTATCCATAGTATTTGTCTATCAAAGACAACAGAAAATGAGTTGGGCCAATTATTTTTTTATACCTGCATATAATGTTTTCCTTTGGACCAGTTAAGAACAACCAGAAACAGAGATGATTTTTTTACTTTACAAAATAAATGTGAAATCTGTGCCAAATCTTGTTCAAATGAACATGTCCCTGTCAAGGTTTTGCCACTGCCTTCTTCCAAAATATTTTTCTTTTCAATATTTTTGCCTGGACTATAACCATGATATTTCCTGATAGTATATCCATGTGTCATGTTGCTTAGCTTTCTGAGATTAATCAAAGTCAGGTAACAAATTTAACAATTTGCCCATTTAACAATATATGGAAAATGATTAATGCAAACTTTCATTGAAGCATTAAGAATAGTCAGAGCTTAACTCATTGAAGCCTAGCTACCATAATAAAATATTCTAGTTTTTAATAATCTTTATCTGCTTATTAAATACTGTTACAGCAAGTAAAATTCTAGTAAGAAACAACTTTATCTCAGGTGACTATACAAAGGGTACAAAGAAAAGGCTCAAAGAACTCTCTGGCAGAATGATACATAATGGTTTTTCTCATAAATGCCTATATCTACTCAAGAGCCTTAATGATTAGAACTGCTGAGGCATTTCTTAACAAAGTATTTCTCTTTTTATGCTTTCCAACCCAGATTTGTTTTAAAAATCTTTCAATGGGGAGAGAAGGGAACTGCCTAGAAATGATATGTTACTTTTCAAAGTATGATGCCTCCTAAAAGTAGCAATCAGATCTACTTACAGCGTATGAGATTGCTGACATGACTACATAAATATATTGGTTTTATCGGTTCTGAAATACATCACTGAGCAAGGTAAGGCACAGTATAGCAGATGGCCTTTTCATAGGGGACATAACAAAACTGACTAAAAAATAATTAAATAGTGCAATTATTTTCTAGCCCTTGGGAACATGTAGCTGCTAGTGCTCTGGTCAGATTGTAAATATAAATTTATGGTCTAACTTACTCTGGTCAGACAATTAGGACAAAAATATGGCTGCATTTACTCGCTTTGGGATGGTGGCATTAAGCTGTATAAGCAAAACATTTGCAAATAAAAACCCTTTGCTTTGACAAAAACATATTGAAATCAGCTTTTGTGACTTATGCACTTTTGTTACCTCTTGCAAATAGGCTGAGAAGTCTATTTGCAGATAGCAGCTGTGGGAAGAAATGCTTTTCCACAAATATAAGATGTGATCCCTTCTGAATCATCCCTTCTGAATTATCTGTTTAAATGATTTTAGTGTTTACTTTAATACTCATTTTAAATGACTTTTTAAACTTTTTAGATTGGGAAGGCAATATTTTCTTTTACAAATGCATTAACCATCTTGAGTACAGATAATTGTCGACTTATGATCACAATTGAGTCCAAAATTCCATTGCTAAAAGAGACAATTCTTAAGTGAGTTTTACCCCATTTTACAACCTTTCTTGCCACAGTTACTAAGTGAATCACTGCAGTTGTTCAGTTAGTAATGTAGTTGTTAAGTGAATTGGGCTTTCCCTTTGACTTTGCTTGTAAGAAGGCTGCAAAATGTGGTCACATAACCCCAGGATATTGCAACCATCATAAATACACGCCAATTGCCAAGCATTTCAAATTCCCAGAGGTTGTGGGAGGAGCTGCTGGCTGCTTGTGAAGGAAGCAGAAGGTGAGTAGAAAGGAGAAAGATAGCGGCCCGTGTGCCTAATAGCACGTGAATCATATAACTATAAACCAAGAATACCAATAAGACATTTAGGGTAAGTGCGCTTGAGATTGTGATTTTATTTTATTTCAAAATGACCGGCTCAGTTCAATGTAATACTTGTTTTACAGATGTCTTTCGCAGTACTCTTTTCAAACTTGGATACTGTCCTCTTTGTAAAAAAATTACCAGTCTACATGGACAGATTACCTATCTAGAATCTCTAATCTGTGCTCTCCAAGCAGAAATAAGGTGCCCAATCCAGCCATCTATTGAACTGCCATGCTACCAGCCCCCACTACCACAAAGACCCTACAGGAAAATGGCAGTATGGGCAACCGTGAGATCTGGCAGGGTGAGAGCTGTGGACCATAAACACAAAGCTTCTTCTGTGTCCCAGCATAACAGATACAATGCCCTTGCTGACCTTAATAGGGACACTAAAGTGACAGGTCAAGGTAGTTGTGATAATGATAACTCAAGTAAGCCGGGGATCATGGTCCTTGAAGAAGAACTGACTTTGGAAAGGAGAAAGTGTGAATCAGGTATTATCACACCAGTCACACAAGAAGAGCAAGGCATCCAAAAAGAGATACTAAGATACTAAGCTGGCAGGAATAGCTAACACCCAAGAAGATAGGCTCAAGATCCAGATGGATCTTGACAGACTAGAACACTGGGCCATATCTAACAAAATGAAATTCAATGTAGAGAAAAGTAAAGTCCTACACTTAGGCAAGAAAAACCAAAAGTACACATAAAGACTGGGTGAAACCAGGCTCAATAGCAGTAACTGTGAGAGGGATCTTGGAGTCTTAGTGGACAACCAGCTAAATATGAGCCAGCAGTGTGCAGCAGCCTCCAAAAAAGCTAATGCAATCCTAAATTGTATTAATCAAGGTCAAGGGAGGTACTAATACCGCTCTATAAAGATCACACCTAGAGTACTGCTTCCAGTTTTGTTCACCACATTATAAAAAAGATGTTGAGACTCTAGAAAAAGTACAGAGAAGAGCAACCAGGATGATTAGTGGACTGGAGGCTAAAACATACAACAAACAGTTGCAGGAACTGGGCTTGGCTAGTCTATATATTTGAGGGGCTGCCACAGGGAGGAAGGGGTTAAGCTACTTTCTAAAGCATCTGTAGGTCAGACAAGGAATAATGGATGGAAACTGAAGAAGGAGAGATTTAACCTGGAAATAAGGAGAAACTTTCTGACAGTGAGAACAATCAACCAATGGAACAGCTTGCCCTCGGAAGTTGTGGGAGCACCATCACTTGAAACTTTCAAGGAGAGATTGGACTGCCATTTGTCAGAAATGGTGTAGGGTCTCCTGCTTGGGCGGGGGGTTGGACTAGATGACCTACAAGGTCCCTTCCAACTCTGATTATCTGTTATCTGATCCACAGATATGTCCAACTGTGCTCTTCCAATTCTGGCTTTTTTTTTTTTTAAGGAGAAAAATTGAACTCAGAAACCCCCAAAGAAATATGATCGATATTGACCAGTGGGTGGAATGGAAAAAGCAAAGGATGTCATATATCTTTCTAGGGCGCTTTTTGAATTTTTCCAAAGTGCAGTCCAGAAGGTAATGGCTTTCAAAATACATTTATGGAATTTTGTTATTACTTTTATAAAAGTAAGGCAAAAGTGTAAGGCACAAATAAGGGGAGACACTTTGGTGTAATGGTCTAGTCCCACCTTAGGCATGAAAGCCAGCTGTGTGACATTGGGTCAGTCACTCTCCCTCAACTCAACTCACAAGATTATGTGAGTTGAGTTGAGTTGAGTGGGAGTAACTGGCCAATGTCACAAGATTATTTTGAAGGAAAATACAGGAGGAAGAAGTAGTGGTATGTTTGCTGCCTTGGAAAATAAAAGATAGGACAAAAATCTAAGGAAAAAAAGAACTGAATGTCCAAACTCTAGCCTCCTTGCTTGTATGCTACCAGTCTGCAGCCAGCAAAACTGTAAAATTCACTGCATTTAGAGAACAATTCTGCATTACTTGCTTATTGTGTTTTGCTAGTGCCAATCTAAATATGTCCATACTGACATATTGGCTACCTAAATAAAGACTTCATATGGGAACACTATGCAGAAACATTAATTACCTGATTCTCTTGTGCGACTACGGCTCCAGGCACTAGATACAGATCCTCCTTCATTAGAAGCAATTACCCGATATAAATATTCTTGAGGGAGGAAGGGGGAGAGAGGGTATGAGAGAGAAAGAGACAGATGCACAGAGAGAGAAATTAATACAGAATCACCGCAAAGTGAACAAAAACCATACCTATAAGGAAGGAGCAACTGTGTTACCTGTAAATGGTTGCAGACCATTATCATATACATGTTTCTCTTTGCCTTGATACACTAAGATGGAGTCATTTCCCCTGCAGTTTACAGCACTGTCAGTTGATAGGCATCCATCCAGATTGACTCTGACAGCACTGCTGGACACAGATGCCAAGTTAACGACAGCACTTCGTGTAAATTTAACATCCTTCATGCAGCCTCCAAAACCTAGCAAATAGTAAGGGGATTAGCGGCAGGTAAAGGGCTTCAGCTGTTAATTAAGAAGCACGTTTTACTTCTTACAGTGCTACATTTTAATTGTGCAGTTGTACAGTTTAAATGTTAAACTTTCTATACACGTCTGTTTGCCTATGTAACACTGTTGCTTCATGTTATTTTTGGGAAGGGTCAGCAAAAAAAAATATGCACCAAGATTGATTTTTAAATTGTAGCTCAAATACAAATTCAAATTAATGTGATGTTTTTATTATTATAGAGGATGTTCTTTTGCAGGATTTCAAATGAATATTTCTCAGGTTAATTGTTTAGAAAATTTGAGTTTGGATATGTGCGGAATATCATTTTTAATTACTTAGGCATATTATTTTCCCATAGTTCAATTTTTTAAATTACACTGACCAAATTTTGGCATTACATGTTGTCAGATATTTAGGTGCAAGGGACTAAAAGGCTGTGTCTATATTAGGTATCGAGCTGTCCCACCATTTAAAGATGTAATGCCCATTCTGCCCAGTATTTACTATCACAGTTACAGGTGACCTAGTAACATCTCCCAACCTTCTGACTTTGGAGTAGGCAGAGTAGTAGGCTTTGGAGTTTGCAGCAAAAAATAAGTATACATTTCTAGAATTCTAATCTGTCAAGTCAGTGTTATCTCCTGGCAGCTGCCTGGACTCTCATCCCTGCAGTTTTCTTGGCAAGATTTGGTTTCTTCGTGGCTGCTTCATAGAGTTGAGAAAGAGTGACTGGCCTAAAGTCACTGTGCAGATGTCCAAAATGGGACTTGAACTCAGGAGCTCAGGGATTCTATCCTAGTGCTTCAACCACTACATCAGACTGGCTCTTTGAATTGGCATACATATGATATTATATATTATTTATAAATTAAGTAAATTTATTTAAAATTATTTTAACAAAACATCTCTACATCAGAGATTGTCTATTTGTATGTGTAGCTTTGAAATATTTATTGTTAGTTACATTGGTTAAACTTAAGTATGAGTAATAGTATAATAAATATTATTAATTATTTAATTTTTAAAAGTAGCATGGAATTCAGTGTAACATATTAAGTGGTCCTATTTAAGTAATTGCATAAATATTACTTACATACAGGAGGGGATGCAAGATACATGGATACATTTCCACTTAACACAAATCTAAGTGAAATTTGCTGATTTCTTCTTCCCTGCCCCCATACAAACTTTGATTCAAGCTATAAACATTTCCAATAAATATGTGTACCATGTAATTTATGTGCAAACCGCTTCCTACTCTCCATGTATACACACCCTGTTCTAAGCCCAGGTCTTTAAATGTTTCTTGGATCTCAACTGGAGTCCCTCCAAGATAGACTGGAGAGTTTACAAATAGTTGCTTCAAATCAGGTTCCATCACATGGTCTGTCCATTCATTCATCCTTGCTGAAGCTACCGATCCTCTTTTTGACAAAATCATTTTATTCCACTTTCCATCACAGTAAGATAGTCCTAACCAGAGATTCACACGTGTGGAGACAATGCCATTATTTAGTAGGAAAATCAGACTTCCACTTTTCAGTTCTGCCTGCCATTTGAAGTTAAAGAGAGAGAGGGGAGGAGGATTGATGATTGTAGCAAAACAAAACCAATGTAGCATCTGAATTTAACCCATTCAAAAAGTGCAATGATTTTTAAGGAATATAGTTCCTGAATTGAATTTCCAGGACACAAAACAAAAAACAATGCAAGATATTACAAATATCGTTGGGGTTATTGGGTTTGAAAAGCAAAATCCCAGCTTTTGAGATATACACATTTTTTCACAGATTGAATTTGCACAGTACATCATTTTTTTGCATAATATTTCATTTTTAAGGTAAAATGAGAATATCCAAAGTCAGTTCAACAGGACTTATCCCATCAGCTGTCTGCACTTAGAGAACTGGAATGGGATAAGAATCCATTTGTGTCTCTATGTATGTCTGTTTCTTTCATTTTTACAAGCCAGAGACAACATTTCTACAATTTAAAATTGAATTAAAAGATATCTATGCAACAAGTGACCTCAACTAACCATTCCAAAATATTAAAATATTTCATTAAAAAATTGTACCCTGCCCACAGCAATTGACAATTAAACCAAATAAGCAAAACAACCAAGCAAAACAATAAACAAACCTACAGCAATATAATCAGGCCCATCTTTGTTGTAAATGAACAGAAGTAAACCACTGAATTGATCTGTTTTAAACATAAAGGAGATCTCAAAATCCATGCCACCATGAAAAATATTTGAATGGAGTTCTAGGAAACCTTAAGGAGAAAGGCAAGAATGTTATACTATAGTTACTATAAGTGAAATTACAGGAATTAAGGAATGCAGACCTAAGTTTTCAAGCATGTACATGTAAGATATGTATACTTAATCTGTAATTCAGACTACATATGTTAGCAACACACACATATTAGCATCATACACGAAAATTTTTTAACTTCAGTAGAACTGGTACCATCCTAAAATAAAGAGAAACTATTGAAGACAGGCAGATGTCTTCTCATATTCATTTGCTTCCATCTCCCTGTTCTTACAAGCCAGTTATGTATTGACTGATTTTCATATGTTTTTTTTTCTTTTTTATGAATTTGATATATTTTGAAAAATATTGGATTTTTCAATTTCATGGAGTTTAACTTAATAATAACAGATAATAACAGATCCAAAGGGGAAGAAATAATAAAAGAATAACAAAGTTGGAAGGGAACTTGTGGGTCTTCTAATCCAATCCCTTGCTCAAACAGGGAACCCTATAACTGTGATGGCAAACCTATAGAACATGTGCCACAGGTGACACGCTACACCCTCTTTGTGGGCACGCAAGCCGTCGCCCTAGTTCAGCTCCACTGCAATGGGCGTGTGCCTCCCTCTGGCCAGCATACTGTCAGGTCTCTGCTATGCATACGCATGGGGGGGGGGGCACATGCATGGGGGTGATGCATAGATTGCATTTGGGGGGTATGGGCATGTGTGCGCTCTTTGGACACTCTGCCCAGAAAAGGTTAGCCATCACTTCCCTATACCATTTCAGAAAAATCACTGTTCAATGCCTTCTAAAAAACTTCCAGAGCTTATCCAAAACAAAAAGAAAGGCAGCTCCTGTTTCTAACAATTTTACTAAATGATTATACCTTTCCCAAGAAAATGTGCTCCATCTTCAAGGCAAGTAGGACAACCTTCCCAATTGTGATAAACATTTCTTTGCTCCACTGCTTTTTCCCATTTTAAAGATTCCCAGACTTCATAGGGATGGTGCATCTTTTGCAAGAAGATATCACAGAGACACCCCACAAATCCCTTTGTGACTATTCTAGTTGGGCCTGATTAATGAATAAACAAACAAACAGCAAAGTTACTAGAATTTCAAAATGAAGAGAATCCTTCCCAAATTATATCCTTCCTTGCATTCGCAGGGCAGTTCCCAGAATCGAATACACATTTCCACACTTACCTATTTGTAACCGTTTTTCGGATTTGATCCCAAACAAAAATATTGTTGCAGCAGCAAAACAGAAAATTTTGTGAAGGATTTGGATGGAACAACTACAATATGGGGAGGGGCAGTTGGGAACATCCCACTGAATCTAATACATGCTATTTTATACTTTACATTTATATGGTGATTATTTCTTTAGCTAGTGTGCTGTAAAGCTGCTCTTTGTAGTATAGTGGTATGCTTCCATATCAAGCAGGTGAGCTAGGACTCACAAATCTCAGCAAGTAGTATTGAAGAAATCAGGCTTTGTAAAAGAAATAAATACCTTCCAAGATACTAAAAGAATCATTGCAGAAAATCAACTTCTGAATATTTAGTGGAATAGATAAATGTCTGTATGTGAAGAAGATGTCTGCATGTGAAGAAATGGTGGGGAAAGTACATCTGTGCTGTAATACTTAGCTACACACAACAAAAATGTCATTGTTAATTCTTAGAAAGAATTCGAAGATTCATCTAATAAGGTAAGATTCTTCTCACCTATGTCTTTTCTTTCAATTATAAAGTCTTGTGGAAGTCCTCCAACAAAAATACCTGTATTTTCTCCTATAATGGTACTACCACTTGTAGCTGATGAGGAACCTAAAAAAATAATAATTGTGTTTAAATATGAACTAGAATATGTTGCATTAAAATCCACTGTTTTAGCTTTATATATAAAACAAATTATAAGACAAAAAAACCTGATCTCAGAAAAGTGTGCTAGCCTGGTAGAAAGCATACAAATTATAAGAAACAGAGAAAATAACCACAAGATAAACATTCATAGAATAGCTTAGAAATATTGGGTGGAAGAAACTCTTGAGAAAATTAAATTTATCATAATCATAACATTACCTGAGAATTGCCAATCTATAATTATTGTTCCCAAGGCTTGATTTCTTATTGCACTTATATGATGCCAATTGTTATCATTATATTGCCTTCCACCATCATTTTCTGGAGTTACAGCAATAGCAGAACCCTGTAATAATTAGAACAATTATGATTTTGATTTAAGCATTACAAACTCCAGAATGACTGTGTAGTTCACAATAGAACCAACAATATAAAATACAATATGAAGAAGATAAAAAACATTTCCCATAAGCATTAATTCTCTGAAATTCAGTACATTAGTGGAAAACTTCACAACTGCCATAAGGGAGTTCAAGTTGATTCATCAGATATTTTAAAACCTGATACTATCTTAGTAAGTATATATTATATATAGAAAAGTTATCCATTCTATGATAATGCATTTTATGAATCAGCTCATGTTCTATTCATACACTATTTTTATTGTCTTCTATCCTATTTCAACATTTTAATATTTTACAAACACACATTTCATTATCATAGTTTAATAATTAAAACCAGAACTGGTGTCATGCCCAATTAATGTGCCCTGGTAGCATGCCCATTAGTTTTTCCATTAGTGAATTCAACAATACTAATGGGATTACTAGCATGGGATGCTAATTGGGCGTGACATAAGAAACTGGCTTACTTCTTAGCATACCCTTGCTAATGATGAAATTAATGAGCATTTTATTAAATGCTGTCTCATCAAAGTGTATTTAGTTAGCGTTAAAATTGTTACAAACGATGCTGCATGCCAAAGATCAGGTGTCTACAAAAGTGATTCTTTATATATTTTGGCAACAATCTGGAGTATTATGTGTTATTCATCTAAAATCACATATGTAAGTTCTCAGTTTCAAATTATATAATCACATATGCCAAACACAGTTCAAATATGGAAGCAACGTTTGTAGTTTTGATCTGTATTTCTTCCAGTGTTTCTGTAGCCTGTGGAAAGCTGAATTTATCTACAATCCACAATCCATTTACTTTGCAACACTGCAATCATCTTTAATAGAAATTGCTTTGAAGTAAACGGCTTTCATCCATAAACACATTTAAATATCTTAAGCAAGGTGCTGCACAAATTAACAAGAGTAGACATTACACAAATTATTGCTATATGTTGATCATTTTTGGAGAAATCTCTAGCTTTTCTTGTCTGGACCCAGTAGAAAGCAGGATGCACTTAAACACATGCAGTACTAAGAATGGGAAACATTTTTAAATTTATATTTTTAAGTGAATCTATTGAATTTGTGTCCACAAATAATATGTGGACTAGAATAAACTTATTTTTCAATTTCAAGTATTCCTGAATTTTGTAATTACTTTGTGTCTAAGATACAATCCAGATACCATGGAATGCATGCTCTATCTATTTATCTTGCCTGCAAAAATTACAGATATGGTATGATGAACAAAATTGTACATGAATATATAGGTGAAACTCAAAAAATTAGAATATCGTGCAAAAGTTCATTTATTTCAGTAATGCAACTTAAAAGGTGAAACTAATATATGAGATAGACTCATTACATGCAAAGCAAGATAGTTCAAGCCATGATTTGTCATAATTGTGATGATGATGGCTTACAGCTCATGAAATTATAAAATTACACACACACACACACATGGGGGGGAGGGAGGGAGGGAGGGAGGGAGGGAGGGAGAATTTATTGTAAGTATTTTTATAAACCCTTCATAAACCTCTACATTAACCTCTTATGAGAAGCAGGGAAAGAGCAAGTATACATACATACATACATACATACATACATACATACATACATACATACATTCTACTATATTATTAAAAATAGCCATGCAACTTTCACTATTTTACCTGTGGATCAAAGAGAAAATAAGGACGGCCTCTTCTCAACTGAAGGACAATGTATTCTTCTTGATTACCAGGTGACATAGAGAGAAAAAGTAGACCATCAAGTTCTGCAGTTTTAAAGCTTATCTTAATACCTAGTTAGAAATAAAAAAGGCATATTTACCTCTCACTAGATGACACATTTGTGGTATACAGGTGAATAATGATAAAAAGAAATTGGATATATGCAATTGGCATTGACATTATACACATTTGATCTTGTATGGTCAAATAACTATGATCTCTCTCTGGATAAAACTGAGGAAACAAACTTTGATTCATAGATTTGGGAAACGACTGCCTTCTGGAGTCATGGATACTTCATCATTGGAAATTTTCAAGTTTACAGTTGGGCTGCTATTTTTCTGGGATAGTCTAGGAATTCCAGCTGTTGCTGGGAATTTTGTGTGTGTATGTGTGTGTGTGTGTGTGTGTGTGTGTGTGTATGATTTATATTGCTGCCTAATTACCCATGGTGACTTGAGGTGGCTTACACAATTTAAAATCATATTTAAAAATAAAAACTAATAAAAACTAATAAAAAGAATCAAATAAATTAATAAAGTACAACAGAACAAAATCTGGTATATATATATATATATACGCATTTCATTATCTATCTGTCTATCTATCTATCTATCTATCTATCTATCTATCTATCTGGCATTCAGCTTTGTTCGGGTATTTTCCCACGTCATTGTAGTTGTGCTTTTAAAGTTGTAGCGACGTTTCAGCAGAATCTCATCTGCCATCATCAGGCAGATGAGATTCTG